CCCCTTTCGGTCCACATGAGATTTCTGTTCTCATTGAGCTCAAAATCGGGCGCCTGCGTTATTTTTTAACAGACGTGCCGCCCCAGCCAAACTCCCCACCTGTTAGTGTCCCCGACGCGGATCGCGCGCACGAAGCGGCTTGGATCCAGAAGTGAGGCGAGCCTCCCTCCGCGCCACCGAGTAAGTAAAACAACGTTGACGGTTGCGGTATTTCACTGTCGGGTTGCCCCTCCCGCATATTCTACACCCATCAAGTCGTTCCACAGTAACAGACTAGAGTCAAGCTCAACAGGGTCTTCTTTCCCCGCTGATTCTTCCAAGCCCGTTCCCTTGGCTGTGGTTTCGCTAGACAGTAGATAGGGACAGTGGGAATCTCACGAATCCATTCATGCGCGTCACTAATTGGATGACGAGGCATTTGGCTACCTTAAGAGAGTCATAGTTACTCCCGCCGTTTACCCGCGCTTGGTTGAATTTCTTCACTTTGACATTCAGAGCACTGGGCAGAAATCACATTGCGTCAGCACCCTCGCGGGCCATCGCAATGCTTTGTTTTAATTAAACAGTCGGATTCCCCTTGTCCGCGCCAGTTCTGAAGCGGCTGTTCGTCGCGCAGGGAGAGCCGGAGCGCTCCTAGGCCGTCCGCCGGACGGCCGCGCGGGATCCGCAGCCGTGAGGCCGTAGTCCCCGCGCAGCCAGCCGGCCTCGAGCCTAGGACCCCTGCGCCCAGCCTTCAGAGCCATTCCTTCTCCCGAGGTTGCGGAACCATTTTGCCGACTTCCCTTACCTACATTGCTCTATCGACTAGAGGCTGTTCACCTTGGAGACCTGATGCGGTTATGAGTACGACCAGGCGTGAGAACGAACCGCTCCCCCGGATTTTCACGGGCCGTCGGGAGCGCGCCGGACACCCCAAGACTTAGGGTGCTTTGCCTGCCGTGTAGCCCTCGCTCCGGCTAAACCGATTCCAGGGCAGGAGGCAGTTAAGAAGAAAAGAGAACTCTTCCCAGGGCTCCCGCCGGCGTCTCCGGGTTCGTTCGCGTCGCCGCCCACCATCCACGCGCTGGCTCGGGAATATTAACCCGATTCCCTTTCGACGGACGGGCTGACAGAACCAGCCGCGTTCGGCGGAGTTTTCCTGTCTCTTAGGGTCGGCTCACCCGTGTCCAACTGCTGTTCACACGGAACCTTTCTCCACTTCAGTCTTCAAAGTTCTCATTTGAATATTTGCTACTACCACCAAGATCTGCACCGGGGCCCGCTTCACCCAGGCTCGCGCCCAAGGCTGCGCCGCGAGCCCCGCGCCCTCCTACTCGCCGGCGCCTCGCGCTCGCGCCGGCGGCCGCGCATCGGTGGTCCGCTTGAGCGCCATCCATTTTCAGGGCTAGTACCTTCGGCAGGTGAGTTGTTACACACTCCTTAGCGGGTTCCGACTTCCATGGCCACCGTCCTGCTGTCTGGAGGTACCAACGCCTTTTGTGGTATCTGATGAGCGGACACTTGGGTACCTTAGCGCGGCGTTCGGTTCATCCCGCATCGCCAGTTCTGCTTACCAAAAATGGCCCACTTTGAACGCGCCGTTCGCCGCCCGGGATCACTCAAGCATCCCGGGCCTCTTGCCCATTTAAAGTTTGAGAATAGGTGCAAGCTGTTTCAGCCCACAGGCCTCTAATCATTCGCTTTACCTGACAAAACCGTTGCGTTCAAGCTATCCTGAGGGAAACTTCGGAGGGAACCAGCTACTAGATGGTTCGATTAGTCTTTCGCCCCTATACCCAGATTCGACGAACGATTTGCACGTCAGTATCGCTACGAGCCTCCACCAGAGTTTCCTCTGGCTTCACCCTACCCAGGCATAGTTCACCATCTTTCGGGTCCCGACAGGTGTGCTCCACTCAAACCCCTCACAGCAGGTCAAGGTCGGTTGGCAGGGCATGCCCTTCACTTTCATTCCGCACGCGGGCTTGCCACCCGGGTACTCGCACACGTGTCAGACTCCTTGGTCCGTGTTTCTAGACGGGTCGGAGGGGCCCGTTCCGTCAGCCGGGCCCCGGGCCGCGCCAGGACGGGAGCTGGCCGTAAAGCCCCGCTCCCGGGTTGAGGCGCGGCGCCGAGGCGCGGCTGACCCGGCGCGCAGAAGTGCACCTGGGGAGAACCCCAGGCTGAGTCGGCGCGCCGAAGCCGGGCCCATCCGGGTTTCCTCCTACCGATTTCAAGCACTCTTTGACTCTCTTTTCAAAGTTCTTTGCATCTTTCCCTCACGGTACTTGTTCGCTATCGGTCTCTCGCCAGTATTTAGCTTTAGATGGAATTTACCACCCAATTCAAGCTGCAATCCCAAGCAACCCGACTCGACGAGGACGCATCGTAAGGCCGCAACCCGCCACGGTACGGGATTCTCACCCTCTCCGACACCCTGTTCCAAGGGACTTGAGCAGCGGGCGCGGCCGATAACGCCTCTCTAGACCACAATTCGGGGGGCGCTGCATACGCGAGGCCTCCAGATTGGCAGCGTGAGCTCAGCCCGCTTCATTCGCCATTACTAGGGGCATCCTGGTTAGTTTCTTCTCCTCCGCTTAGTGATATGCTTAAGTTCAGCGGGTAGTCTTGCCTCATTCGATGGCGGGTTTCGAGGCGCGCGGCCGCACAGAGAGCGGCCGCGCGCCGGGGCGGGCGGGCCTCGCTCTCCCGGAGGAGAGGAGAGGCACCGCGCACGCCGGGGGTCGCGAGGCAGAACGGGGCACGCGTCCACCAGAGGTCTAGTCGTGGACTTAGCACTCCGGCGGGGACGCGGGTTAGACGCCGCCGCCGCGCTCGCAAGGCAGCCTTGGGCGGGCGCGCGAGGGGGCCGAGGCTCCCCCGCGCGGCCGCCGGCTCCGGAGACGAGAGAGAGAGCTCTCTCGCTCCGAGGAGGATGGAGGCGCCCCTCGAAGAGACATGCGTCCGAGCGGAGCCCGGATGCGCCATTTGCGTTCAAAGGTTCGATGATTCACTGAATTCTGCAATTCGCACTACGTATCGCATTTCGCTGCGTTCTTCATCGTTGCGAGAGCCAAGATATCCATCGGCAGGAGTTGTGGGGTTTCATAAGTTGAGGCGGCGCCGGCGTGAGAGCCCGCGCTGCGCAAGAGAGGGGGCCGTGGGGAGGGGAGAGACACGCGCGCGCCCGAGGCGCACACGAGCACTCCACACTCACCCAGGCGCGAGACAAGAGGGGTGCGGGCCCGGGTCGGCTCAGGAGAGCCCCCCGGACAGCCGCGCGCTCCGTGCGAACGCGGAGCCCGCGACGGGGTTAGACGGGTACGGTGCAACATCGGTGTGGGTTGGAAAGACCGGTAATGATCCTTCCGCAGGTTCACCTACGGAAACCTTGTTACGACTTCTCCTTCCTCTAAATGATAAGGTTCGGACAGCTTCCCGCGGCGTCGCGGCTGGAGAACCAGCTGCGGCGCCGCAGTCCGGGGGCCTCACCGGATCATTCAATCGGTAGGAGCGACGGGCGGTGTGTACAAAGGGCAGGGACGTAATCAACGTGCGCTGATGACACACGCTTACTAGGAATTCCTCGTTGAAGATTAATAGTTGCAATAATCTATCCCCATCACGATGCAATTTCAAAAGATTACCCGGACCTCTCGGTCAAGGTGATAGACTCGTTGAGTGCATCAGTGTAGCGCGCGTGCGGCCCAGAACATCTAAGGGCATCACAGACCTGTTATTGCCGCGAACTTCCACTTGTTGAAGACAAGTTGTCCCTCTAAGAAGCTCCAGCGAACGGAGGGTTCGCGTCGCTATTTAGCAGGCTGCGGTCTCGTTCGTTAACGGAATTAACCAGACAAATCACTCCACCAACTAAGAACGGCCATGCACCACCACCCATCGAATCAAGAAAGAGCTCTCAATCTGTCAATCCTCACAATGTCTGGACCTGGTAAGTTTCCCCGTGTTGAGTCAAATTAAGCCGCAGGCTCCACTCCTGGTGGTGCCCTTCCGTCAATTCCTTTAAGTTTCAGCCTTGCGACCATACTCCCCCCGGAACCCAAAGACTTTAGTTTCCCGAAAGGTGCTGAAGGAGTCACAAATGGAACATCCTCCAATCCCTAGTCGGCATGGTTTATGGTTAAGACTACGACGGTATCTGATCGTCTTCGATCCCCTAACTTTCGTTCTTGATCAGTGAAAACATCCCTGGCAAATGCTTTCGCAGTGGTTCGTCTTCCGCTGGTCTGAGAATTTCACCTCTCTCGGCGGAATACGAGTGCCCCTGACTGTCCCTGTTAATCATTACTCCGGTGTTCGAAACCAACAAAATAGCACCAGAGTCCTATTTCATTATCCCATGCTAATCCATGCAAGAGCGACTGCCTGCTTGAAACACTCTGATTTTTTCAAAGTAAAAGACCCGTCTCCCGCGCCCGCTCAGTTAAGAGTAGGCGCGGTCTCCGGGTGGAAGGACGCGCCGGCCAGTGCATACCCATCGGCAGACCGGTCGGCCCGCCCCGAAATCCGACTACGAGCGTTTTAACTGCAACAACTTTAATATACGCTATTGGAGCTGGAATTACCGCGGCTGCTGGCACCAGACTTGCCCTCCAATTGATCCTCGTGAAGAGATGTAAATTGTACTCATTCCAATTACAAGACTAAAATAGCCCTGTATTGTTATTTCTTGTCACTACCTCCCTGTGTCAGGATTCGGGCAATTTACGCGCCTGCTGCCTTCCTTGGATGTGGTAGCCATTTCTCAGGCTCCCTCTCCGGAATCGAACCCTAATTCTCCGTTACCCGTTAACGCCATGGTAGGCCTCTATCCTACCATCGAAAGCTGATAGGGCAGAAATTTGAATGAACCATCGCCGGCGTAGAGCCGTGCGATTCGAGCAGTTATTATGACTCAGCACGCAACCGGAGACCGGTTTGGTTTCTTATCTAATAAATACATCCCTCCGTGAGTCGGGAACTCCTGCATGTATTAGCTCTAGAATTACTACGGTTATCCAAGTAGCAAGGTACCATCAAATAAACCATAACTGATTTAATGAGCCATTCGCAGTTTCACAGTATAGTCGCTTATACTTAGACATGCATGGCTTAATCTTTGAGACAAGCATATGACTACTGGCAGGATCAACCAGGTAGCCCGCAGACAACCCGCGGGGAGGGAGCCCAGTCGGAGACCAGACCCCCTCCCACAACGGAAGTCCCGGACCAGACAGGGGCACACCAGCGCGCGCGGTCCGAGTCAGAGCCCTCCGTCTCCGGAGGGGACAAGAGACCACCGCGCGCGGCCGCCCAGAGTCTGACCGACAGTGCTCACTCCAAGGCCAACAAAGCCAAGGACACGTGTCGTAATCATGTTACGGAGCGCGGCTCTAGTCAGAGCCGCAGCCCTCGCGCGGCGCCAAGCCGCGGGCCGGCCCAGTACGGGCGGCCTCGCGGGGCGCGGCGCATCGCGCCTCCACTCAAGGATTCGCACGACCGCTCGGTGGCTAGAAGCGCATCACAACCGACACGCCGCAGCTCCACAGCAGGGCGGGAGCCGCTCCGAAAGGGGAGGGCTGCACCGCTGAGCCTGCCAGGGCCTTGTTACGCGGGGCCAGTCGAGGCGCCACCGCCACCGACAGTGCAGCCAGCCAACCCGCGCCCAGAGGAAACCTCCGAGCTGCGAGCCAGCCGCGCTGCAGGGTGAGGCGCACGAGGCGTCTGCCCATCGGGAAACCATCTGCTTCTCACACACAGCCGCTGCCCAGGCGGCCCCATCCAGTCCGGAGGGGCACAGCGAGGGAGCTTTTGCGTCGGGGGAGGGTGAGTCCCCGCGGCGGCACGTGCTGACTAGGCGTCTACGTAACCGAGACTGGGGCCGGATCGCGCAGTGGCGACCCAACCCCGCCCAGCACCGCCTCACACGCACCAGCCGCTCAGTCAACCTACCGGGCCGCGGCTCAAACCGTAAGCAAAAGTCTGCTCCGGCGAACCGCGCCGAGGGAGCACCGCGCCGGCTGCCTCGCGGCCGCCATTCTGCGCGTCTCCTCACCTATCCACCTGCTTGGGTGGCCGAGAGGGCGGTACCGACCGCGCGGGCAGCACCGCCAGACAAGCCCCAGTGTGTCCGCGCCGGTGCGCGTACTCGCGTTTGTATTCGCCGCAGAAATGCGTATTCCTCTAAGTGGTACGCCGGAGGGCGCCGCTTTGATTGGGCGAGACCATTACGAGCCCAGGCGCGGACACACTGGGGAAACTGCGGCCCCAGTCATACCGATTCGCCCCGAAGCCGAATGGAGTGGGACTGGGGATGCAAATGCGAACCGAATGCGACGTTTTGACTAGGAAACGCGCACACCGACTGCAAATAAAGCCAAACACACCCGAAACGAATCGACTTGGGCCCCGCGGAGCCGGGAGACGGGCTCCGGGACCGGGGCGGACGGCACACCGACCTCGCCGCACCACACCCCGCCGCCCCGCCTCGGTGCACAGGACCGGGACGCCCCCGCCGCGGCCCCTCCCACCGCTGGGCGGGCCCCGCCGCGCCCCTCCGCCCTCCTTGCCCCACGGGCGGCCCCCCCGGCTCCAGAGACCGGCGCCCGGCCCTCTGCGCCGGACCGGCGACCGCGCCGCGCGGCGGCTCTCTCGAGGCGCCGCCATGAGCCTCGGCTCATGGCGGCGGGGGGTGGACGCAAGCGCGGGGCGTCCGTCGGCCCTAGCGGTGGTGGTGGGGGGGAGGGGCGAGAGCGCTCGCGTCGCGGCGCCGCTGGCGAGCGCCGTGCAGCGGCCTGCGGGGAGAGGGGCAGGGGGAGAGGCGAGACGGTGAGACGGTGACGGTGACGGTGGCGGTGACGGTGACCGCGCGGAGAGGAGAGGGGCGCGAGGGCTGCGGGGGGAGGGGGGGCGCCGCGCCGCGCGGGAGAGGGGGATGGGGGAAGGAGGGAGGAGGCGACGGCGAGAGGGGTGTGTGCGGGGCAGCCTTGAGCGGGCCGACGCTGGCGCGCCACATATCGTTGCCGAGCCGAGAGGAGCGAGGCGCCGATCGCGCGCAAGTCGAGGCCGTCGCCTCCAGCGCATATGCTCGGCCTCGATCGCCTTGTCGCCGCGCCAGCCTGCGGCAGGGACGCGTGCGGGTGCGCATAAGTGGCTGGGGCGGGGATGGCTGGTGGGTGGCGGAGAGGCGGCGTGGGGAGAGTCCCGGGCGGGGCGAGAGGCGGGGCAGAGGGAGAGGGCTGGGGGAGGGGCGAGAGGTGGCGGGGGGCGGGAGTTGCGGCTCGCACCGTGCAGCGCTGGCAGCCCCGACCGGCGGGGACCGCTCGCCGGGCCCGCCAGGCGGCACGCCACGGCAATCGCGGCAACGCTTCTTCAGCCGGCGCTTGGGCCCTCACCGCCGCCGTCAGCGGCCGTCAGCGCAGCGCCTCCGCCGCCGTGGGCCCGCCCCTCGCGACGACAACGCCCTCCGCAGCGGCGAAACACGCCGCCGGCCGCCGGAGCGCCGCGCGGGAGCGCCGGCTCACCGATGAGCGGCGCGGCGACCGCGCCATCCGCCCCCGCCGCAGCAGCGCCACCCGAGCTGCTCTGGACGCGCCCTGCGAGGCGGCGCATGCCGTCGAAAGATGTAGACAGCGACGGAGGAGGAGGAGGAGTTGAGGCGGCGGCGGGGCGGCGCCGCCGACGCTGGCCCCCGCGCCGCCCAGCCGCTCCAACCCGACTCGAGGTTGCAGCGACCCGAGCCTGCGGGGCTGCCGCCGAGGAGTGCAGAGAGAGGTGCGAGAGAGGGGGGAGAGCGGCGAGGCGAGCAGCTAGCGCGCCTCGGCAGAGGCGAGAGCGCCGCGGCCGCGCCTGACGCACGAGCGACGAGCCGCGCAGCCCGCCCTGCAGCGGCGCGCAACCTACGGCAGAGAGCGCCGATGAGACCTGGTGTGAGGCCGACGGCGGCGGGGATGGCGCGGTGCGCGGTCGGCGGAGGAAGGGGCGGGGCGGAGGGACAGAGGCCTGCCGAGAGGCTCCGAGAGAGGGAGGGAGGGAGGGAGGGAGATATCGCGAGGTGAGGAGCGCGCAGTGAGGGCGAGAGAGGGCGGTGCGGTGGCGACGCCGCGGCGTGGCGCGAATGGGAAGAGTGCGGAGGGGAGTGCGAGAGAGGGGGGAGAGCGGCGAGGCGAGCAGCTAGCGCGCCTCAGCAGAGGCGAGAGCGCCGCGGCCGCGCCTCACGCACGAGCGACGAGCCGCGCAGCCCGCCCTGCAGCGGCGCGCAACCTACGGCAGAGAGCGCCGATGAGACCTGGTGTGAGGCCGACGGCGGCGGGGATGGCGCAGTGCGCGGTCGGCGGAGGAAGGAGGGGGGCGGAGGGACAGAGGCCTGCCGAGAGGCTCCGAGAGAGGGAGGGAGGGAGGGAGGGAGATATCGCGAGGTGACGGGGGAGCTGCGGGGCGGAAAGAGGGGAGAGCTGGCCGGGATGAGGAGTGAGAGCGCGGCGGTGGTGCGCCGCGCGCCGCTGCGCACCTGTAGCTGCACGCCTGCCTAGCGCACGGCCTCGGTCAAAGGGTGGCGGAAACGCGACGCGGAGGGCTGCGGCAGTGGCAGGAGCACTGGAGCGGCGGCGTGGTGGCGGGAGCGAAGGTGCCTGAGGCAGTGTGCAGCGGGCGTGGTGAGGCTCGAGGCTGCCAAGTGCGAGTGTGCGCGGGAGGCCGGTCGGGAGGCTAGCTGGCTCCCATCGCAACTCACACGCGGCTGTGGCACACGGGGAGACGCTGCTGCCTCTCGTGGCACTGCTCAACGACGCTCAACGCCGACCGTCGGGGGGTCTGGTTGGGCTCTGTGCGGCTGGAGGAGAGCGGAGAGTGGAGCGGTGGTGTGCCCGAGTGCAGAACGGCGCACGCTGCGCACCAGCAGCGCGTGGAGAGAGGCGGACGCCCGCCCCGAGGTCTCGTTCGTTTCAAGGCCGCCAAAAGAATTTTTGCGCGCGTCGTCCTTCCAAGACATTTTTTCTCCCACTGTCCTGTGTGGGTGATCGTGGGTGATCCTGCCCACCCCCTCTCCGTGTCGCGCTGTGTGCCCCCGCACCCCCAAATGGCATCCTCCCAAGACCCTTGCTTGCTTGTTCCGCAAGGAGCAAGGTGGGGACTCTGTCCTCTTCCCATCCCTAGTTTGCCAGTGTTCGAAATTCTTCCTGTGTTAGTGCCAGTGTGTGCGCCACAGTCCCGTGCCCAGTCGCCAGTGTTGTGCGAGAGGGCGACGGCGAGCGGGGGCAGGGGCGGGGGCGGAGAGGAGGGTGGAGGGGGCAAGGGTGCCGTGGCTGCGAGGGCGGGCCCCGGCGGCGAGGAGGAGGGAGGCGGCGGCGAGGGCGAGGGGTGGTGAGAGTGGCAGCAGGCCGAGGGGGGGCGGGGGTGAGGGCGGCGCGGCGAGGCGGGAGGCGGCGGTGAGGGCGGCGGCGAGGGCGGCGGCAAGGGCGGCGGCAAGGGCGAGGGCAAGGGCGAGGGCAAGGGCGGGGGATAGTGTAAGAGATCTCGCGGCGCGGTGACGGCAAGGGCGAGGGCAGCGGAGGGGGTGGGGGCGGTGGCGGCGGCGTGGGTGGCAGCGAGGGAGGCGGGCATGGTGGTGGTGGCGAGGGTGGTGAGAGCAGCGGCGGTGGAGACGGGGTGGTGAGGAGGGCGGTGGCGGTGAGGGTGGCGGGGCGGCTGGAGGCGAGGGCGGCGGCAGCCGGCAGGCCGACACGGGGTTGGAGGGAGCGGCGTGCGTGCCTGGCGACGCCTCGGCCAAGTGCGCAAGAGGTCCAAGGACAGTGGCAACGGAGGTGACTTGTGGGTGATGCTATAGAGGAGTGCAGTGCATGCTTCGGAAAACGCAAAGAAGAGCGTGGAAGGCTCTGAGTAGAGCTCGAGAGACGCTTGCGGTTGCGCCGCCCGTTCCGGAGGCCGCATTCAGCCCGGAGGGGACCGCGGGAGTGCCCCCCGTGGCGGCTCGGAGAGGGCCGGGCGTGGCTACGCAGTGGCCTGCGCGCTGCCTTGGGAGGGGGAGAGGGCGAGAGCGGCGGCATGCTGGAGGGCGGCGGCGGCGGCGAGGGAGGCGGCGGCGAGGGCGGCGGCGGCGAGGGCGGTGGCGGCGAGGGCGGCGGTGAGGCCGGGGGGGGGGGTAGCGTAGGAGGGCGGCGGGCTCGACGGCGACGGCAAGAGCACGGGCGGCGAGGGCGGCGGCAACAGCGGCGGGGCGGTGAGGGCGGAGGCGACGGCGGAAGAGACGGCTGCGAAGGGGGCGTCGAGGGCGGCACCGGCGTCCGCCCCCCTTGGTGGGGATTGCAGGGGCGGCGGGGGCAAGGGTGGGGATGAGGCCATGAGGGTGGGAGCGGCGAGGGTGGCCGGAATGGTAGCGGCGGCATGAGGGGGTGAGGGCGGTGGCGAGGGCGGTGGAGGTAACGGTCACGGTGGTGACAGGGCGGTGGGCGGCCACATCGCAGTGTGAGAGGAGAGAGATCCGACGCGAATTCCGATGGCCGGCGCGGTGGCGGCTGTGGAGCGAGAGGGCGGGGGCAATCAAATGACAGTGGCAAGCGAGTTGACCAGGCGATGCACTAGCCACTACAGAAGAGCGCAGTGCGGTGGGTGCTTCGGAACGCAAAGAAGAGCGTGGAGAAAGCTATGAGTAGACTTAGACAGTAGACTTAGACATAAGGCTCAAGGGCGCGGCGGGGACCTGTTTTCCTTACCTTCCTTTTTACCCATAACCCATCTCACAGTAGAGAGGTGGGTCCGTTTTTATTTATTTATTTATGAGTAGACTTAGACGCTCGCGCCGCCCGCTCCGGAGGCCGCATTCAGCCCGGAGGGGACCGCGGGAGCGCCCAATGGCGGCTTGGGGAGAGCCGGGTGTGTTTGCGCAGTGGCCCTGCGCGCTGGCGAAGGAGGGCAGCCTCTCCGCACAGGCGAGTTTCCTACTCGCGCAAACCTCACGGCTGAACGCAGGGCCTTCTCACTGGCGGCAGTTGTGGCCGGCGAGAGCACTCGACGAAGTGGAGCATGTAGACACCTGTGGCAAAGTGTGTCGCTCAGCGCAATCGTGTCTCGCTCATGTCGCGAGAAGAGGGGGCGTGCGCTGCGGGGGGCGTGCGCTGCGGGGGGGGGCGTGTGCTCGCCGCAGTCGTAGTCGTTGTCTTGCTGTGGCGCGAGATGGCAGATGATGTGAGGCAGCGACTGCGCCTGTTCACAGATGCACGCGTGAAGAGGCGCTGTTTACACGCGTGGCATGCCGCGCAGTGGACGCTGTGTACCGTGAACCACGCCACGCCCTTCTCGTCCGGGCTCCCCTCCACCACGGCAGCCGCCTGGTCGTCCGCCGCCGCCACCGTCACCGTCGCCTCCGCCTCTGCCATCGCCTCCGCTGCCGACCCCTCGCCCGCTCGCGTCGCGGCCGCCTCCGCTATCACCGGCTCCGCCATCACCGCCTCCGCCTCTGCGGGCTGAGCCGCGCCGCCCGGCTCTGGGGCCGCCACCGCCGCCAGACCCGCCTCCTCCGCCTCCTCCGCCTCCTCCGCCTCCTCCGCCTCCTGCATCGGCTCCTCCTTCTCCTCCTCCGAGTCGCTCACCTCCTCCTCCTCCTCCTGCGCCACCTCCTCCCCGGCCACCTTCTCCTCCGTCTCCGCCTCCTCCTCCCCCCCCACCCCGGTCACGGAGCTGCCTCCCGCCGCCGAACTCCCTCCCGCCGCCCCGCCGCCCACGGCAGCGAGACCCACCTCCGTCAGCGGCACCGCCGCCGCAGCACCGCCAACCTCCCCCTCGGCAGCCCCAGCCGCCGCCTGCGCCTCCTCCGCCGCCTGCGCCGCCTGCGCCTCCTCCGCCGCCTGCGCCTCCGCCGGAGCCGCAGTCAGGTCCACCTCGGGCGTGACGGTGGCAATCACTGCGTCTGCTGCGCCGCCGCCCACGACTACACTCTCCGCCGGCGGCAGCCACCTCTCGGCCGCCTCTCTCGCCTGCGGCAGGCGCAGCTCCTCTCTGCGCGCGGCGGTGTAGAGGTTGAGGAACCTGTGGCAAGCGGCTGCAGCGGGTGAGGCGAGGCGAGGCGAGGCGAGGCGGCGCGGCGGCGGCGCGACGACATGCGCAAGTCGCCGTAGATTCTGGCGGTGTCCGCGGTGCTGCAGGAAGGAGCCGAGGAAGAGGAGGCAGGGCTTCCTAGAGGC